CCACCGCGCTGGCCACGCCGCCCATTATATACTGCTCCTCAGTCGTGTCCTTCTCTGGTTGGCTGCCTTCCTTTCCCGCACGCCATTGGATTACAGAGAGACACAGGATTGGCTGAGGCCAGGTGGTCCAACATGTCTGCGCCCTAATCCGACGCCACAGTCACCACACGACACTACGCTGCGTACAGATGATATTTTCACAAAGTGTCGCGAGTGAACCCAGTAGCCTCTATGTCTCACCAGAAATTCGACATGTTATCTTTGGAATTTTCGGGGTTACACCAGCCTTCAACCCTGATTATGCAACTGTTCTTTTATTTTTTTGTATCAATCTTATTAATTACATGGACAGATTTACAATTGCTGGTATACTTCAATTGATTTGTTTTTAACACTTCCAAAAGGAATCCCTGACATGATTAGAGACTTCTACCAAATTGATAGCAAAAGGCTTGGCCTTCTGCAGACTTCTTTTGTTCTTTCGTACATGGTTTTGAGCCCTATATTCGGATATTTGGGTGATCGATGGAAGAGAAAGTATATTATGGTTATTGGACTTGTTATATGGACACTAACGACGCTTGCTAGTTCCTTCGTACCCCGTAATGTAAGTCAAGTCAGGTTATTCAACTGTTCCAGAATTTTGGTCTTTTCATGGTCCTCCGATGTATAGTTGGTATCGGAGAGGCCAGTTATTCCACTCTCGCACCAACGATCTTGACAGACCTCTTTTCTGGAAATGCTCGAACTTCGATTCTTGGCTTCTTCTATTTCGCGGTTCCCGTTGGGAGGTAAGGAGATATAATACAAGTGCGCAAGTTTAACCCATTCTCTTAGTGGGCTTGGGTTCGTTTTGGGATCGGTCATCGCAAACGCCACTCATAATTGGACTTGGGCGTTGCGTATTACTCCCACACTAGGTGTTTTTTGCACTCTCGCCCTTATTGCTTTCCACAAGGACCCCCCACGTGGACGCGCCGACGGTGCGATCCACTTGCGTGCGACATCATGGTGGGTGGATCTCCGAAGCCTTTCATCAAATTGGTGTTTTCTACTAGTATCCCTCGGATTTACAGGTGATTGCTTTGTTCTCGGGGCACTTGCTTGGTTCTCAGTGGACTACATTCAGGATGCCATCAATGCAAGGGGCTACGGTGACGCTTCAAAATATCCGTGGGTTCCTAGTTTCTAAAACACGTTCGTAAACTTATCTAACATTTTCTTTTGTAACTCGTAGTGTGGCGCTCCTTTTCGGCATAAGCACATGCTTCGCAGGGCTCCTTGGAGTCGTTGTGGGAACCGCATTGGCTCGGGCCCTCCGAGTTTACATAACACGTATTGATGCGTATATCTGTGGCGCTGGCCTTCTTATGAGTGCCCCTTTCGTATTTGCGGGTCTTGTCTCACCAATATACAGCTTCTATCTCTGTTTAGTATGTTGTGTACTTTTTATTTTCTGTCACTAAGACATCATCAGCAATTTTTTTCAAATGCAAACAACAAATATTCGTAAATGGTATTAGCGTTCTTAACATTTCGTTATTTAACGACTCTGTTAAATTATTTTTCTCTGAATCTCTCCTGATTCCTAAGTATGCTATTTGCATTATAATTAGTTTATTATGTAAACAGGTCCCCAAAAGAGGTGCTTACAATGGACTAACATTACCTTCTACTAATGTTCCTTATCGCTTTGAACTAGTCATATTTCGGAATCATGTTATCATCACATTTTAGGGATTCGTCTTTGTTGGTCAATTCCTCATTTGTCTGAATTGGGCGCTTATATCGGATGTGACAATGGTAAGCACTAATACCTTGTACCCACATAAATTGTTGGTTGTCGTTGAAAGTGTATGGATGTCCACCAGCTGTAACAACGAGGGTCAGTGATGAATTCTAGGTTCCCGGTAACGGTAGGCAGGGCTCATAAAGCGTCAATCCTGGTAAACCAACCAGACTATCGTTTTAATTTTCAGGGAAAGTATATCTTAGCTAAATAACAGGCCAACTTCACCCCGAATGTTCGCTTGTTGAATATACCTCCCAAGATGCGATTCCGGTTTTTAACTTAAAACAGTATCAGCGTATATTTTATGACGTGTACGCCTCGAATTTGAAGCTGCGACCTTAATTTGCGAAAGCACCCTACTTATTCGTTCCGAAAAAGCAGGTAAAACAATTGGCATTCGATCTGCGGCGGAAAACAATTGGCGTTGGATCCTGTTAATTTTTCTTCTATATATCTATCGTTAGACGTTGCGATTGCTTTTAAAATTTCAAAAAAATTCAATAATTCTGAACCCGACCCAATTACAAATTTTGGCCAAACACTTTTTTTATTGTGTAGTCAGACATTTAAAATTATTGGCAAACCACCTCAGTCCGTCTCTTTTTGATAAATTTTAGTCTGTTGTCATTCCAACGCGTAGGGCGACCGCGAACGCCTTTCAAATGCTCATGTCGCATGCCCTGGGGGACGCCATTAGTCCATTTATCATTGGTTTGGTAAGGTTCACAACTTGGTTTTTAACTAATCCTCCTAATCTTCGTGTATGAACAGACCAAAGCAAACCTGGGTCAAGGCTGCTGGATACTGCCATTTCCACGTAATAGGAGGCAAAATGCATGGTCAAAGTCATATCAGCCACCTGAATTTGAATATCTCCAAAAGTATTAATTTGGAACTTCGGTTCGAAATGCATAGGATGTGAATTTACATCACACTCGAACTATTGTGGTTGGCGCTCGGCTTGTATCAGTTAAACGCGACTGTCGTAGTCGCTGCCAACAAATTCGTTTGGTTTGGTGTTCATTTTGTAGATTGTTTATCCTGTACTTATCATTCCAACGTTATGCCAAATTCTCAAAAGGATATCCTTAGGTTTAACTACTATATCTTGAGGAAATCTATGCATATTCACATGCTGTTTTATAAAAGTATTTGAACCTTGTTGCTGAGTTAATTTAAATGTAAATAGTTAGCTTTTCCTTATCGTGGCTTCTTTTATCAATAAAGGCAGTGAATAGATAAATGGGGCAGTAATGTACTGTCCCTACAGCTTTTGAAATAAGTTTTGTCGTGAAATTCGCTTTATTTGATTTTTTTATCTAAAAACTAGTGTCACAGGACTTTGTCTCCTGAAATAACATTGAAAGGCGTCCACACACCAGGGATTTAAAGACTAGGCTCACCATCACAAGCACGGCAGGGTCAAATATGGAGAAAAACGGTGTCATGGTAGCCTAAGTAGGCCATATCTTTTTGGGAGTACCCATGATTAACAAACAAATGTGCGCACCATTTACATCATGAGTTAAATACTGTCAGGGCTGAAATTTTAAATGTATGGGGTGAGATTGTTCATGCTATGTCAATCCATTGATACACTAGGTTAGTCAAAAAATCAAATGCGTGACACATTTCCCTGCCGCGGAATATTCGTTTAAGTGACGGACACTGTCGGGTAACAGGGACGTGGATTTCGGGTTCTAATGATCTCTTAAAGCGAGTAAAGAATAAACTCACTCATTCAAACTTGATTATAATTGGCACTACTTTAAGTGATTGCTTTGATTTTTTCAAGATTGCCGACACTCAAATGACGAGTAATGAAGTGACTTCTCGTTACCTGGGCATGCAACGGGCTCTTTTAATGAACGTGTTTGTGTGTATCATAGCCGGCTTTCTTTTCCTCTGTTCATCCTGGTTCCTTGAATCCGCTAAAGCCCGGGTTCAGTTTATAGTTGAAGGTAAGGATATCCTTTAAAACAACTTCTTGAATGATTGCTTCGACACGAAAATTTCAACATTTTAGCGTCTCAAGTTAACCAATTTGATGTTCGCGAGACGGAAGTGGAAGCGGAAAGTCAGCCTCTTTTACGAAGTGACGACCTTGGCACGGTGCGAACCCAGTCCTGGCACTCCTTTGCGCGAACAGACTTGGCACTGACCTAGTCGTCTTTTATGACGCAATTTTAATCTTTTGATTCTGTTTTCACAATGCATTTGTACAAATTGAAATGTGACACTACCCTCAACTTATTGATGTACCTGCCCGCACTATCACATGAAACGCCTTAAGTCATATGGCTTTCAAGTTTTTTTGTCGAGGTATTCTGGATATTGAGTTGAAGTTGGCGCCTGATCTGTCTTGTGTCGTTGAGATGACGAACGCCGCATCGAGTTAACCGTCCAGCAGGTCTTCCCCCCACAATTTCTTTGAGCCGAAGTGCAATCAAGCAACGACACAGGTTTGCATTTCGACACTTCCTCAAGTGTAGTTCCTTACCATCAAAACCGCATAGAGGTATATCCAACATGCAGGTGCTTCAAGTGTTATTGGCCTAAAACGTTGGCGACCTCCGTTGAAGTCATTTTCACATAATTAAGTGGAGCAAACGGGAAGAGATTCGCATGGGTATCTGGTATTGAATGTGTTTAATTAATCGAAATTCTAAAAAAAAGCGATGGATGCGTGGGTACACTGAGATGGTACAAAACTAATGCAGTACTGGATTTACACACCCAAAAATTGTGAAATAATCAAAAAAGTGACCGAGTGAAGTGCCATAGTATCAGTTCAGCACTATTCCATCTTCTGCGAATCGGTCACAACGTCAACGTCCTGCAAGTGGAAGGTGGTGCTGTACTTTTTGCGTAGGTAACTGCGTTTTCGCGGATTGAGAAGTGCCAGTTTCTGTTTCACAACCATAAGGGTAGTAACGAGATTGCCAACAGCGCCAAAAGCATAAATAAGCCCGACGACTGAGGGCTAAAAAACGGAAAAGTGTTGGCTACGCGGTGCCGTCGAGTCAAACACCTACTTGGCGTGTGTTAGAGGTGAGGGTTACACGTACCCTTCGCAATTCATTGCAGTGACCCCGTTAAAAACCTTGCGTGTTTGGTAAATACGAGGCTCACTAGAGAGTTCACTGCCAGCTGATAGTGCCATCCGAAAACAGGTACACAGCGATCAACTACCAAGAACCATGACACGAAATGTGCTGTAAACACTGATGGCTGCATGAATGTTCGCTTCCGTGTTTCTCACACATTTCCAAAAGACTTCAACAGCATAATGTGCACTGTTCACTTTTTGGTCAGTCACATGGACATTGCGTTTTTTGGCTTGGCTTCAACCTCAGTCAGTGACAGCAGTTCGCCATAATGGGTAGTTCTGATTTGCAGTTGGGTGGACTTGGCTGTCACACTTACGTCCAAGTGTGAGGAGGATTTTGTTGACTTTAACAGCAAAGTTCTACATGTTCGTAAGGCTTATCTCAAACCAGGAAGCTTATTCGATTTCGTAAATGAAACGAAAAACAGCGCCAATAGGCGTGTATGTCAGCCTGTGAACGAATGAGAATGGTGTCTATTTACACACAACACCTTCTGCCAGCCACGGCTTGCAAAACTGAGAGCTTCCGGCGAGTGAGATCGCTTGCGCTTCCATTTTGAATCGAAGCAACATTTCATTTTGCACACGCCGTGTCAGAGTAGTTACACTACACATATTACTACACAAAGAGTTAAAAGTGGTTGTCAACCATAGTGTAGTGGGGGTCTAGGCTCTCCCGATTCACGCTACCAATGAATAGCTTTCTGATTAACTCGAATTTTAAGAATTTGTTTGGCCCTTTACATCTCCATAAATGCCAGTTTTTTTCTGAAGCCTACTAATTGCGTTTAATTTTTTAAATGCTTCAAATTTTATATCCCACATTTTAGTGCTTAAAATTTAATCTATCTTCACTTCTTAAAACACATTTTGAGAAAGTGACTTTGCATTATTACAGGGAACATATAGAGCAAAACACTGAAGTTCACTATATATACCACAAACATTCTCCTAATAAAAATAGGAAACAATAGACGGGATATATACAGTTGCCAGTGACTGCACACAGTATCACGACGTGACAGTCCAAATACACCCTACAGTAAAACAGGTCGTTACGTGCGTTTGAGTCGATTTCCGCATAATTAGACAAGTCTACTGTCCAGCGTGTTTCGAGCTAGCAGAAATGATGGACTACGGCGGTCTGTTCGAAAGTTTGCGACAGCGTATCCAGAGGTGAGGGTTTGAAAATACAAGTGTTATTTGTGAGACCACACGACTTCGAATACCACGGGGACCGCAACAAAGGTTACGCAGCTTCCGGTGTCAGCTAAGACGCTGTCGCAGCGAACCCCGCGGTTCACTTCAGGGCCCACACAATGTAAAACCGCGAAACCGGCATGGTCCGGCTGAGCCCGTAAGCAAGTGCGCGTACATACACAGACGCGCAGCTCCTAAACCGAGTTTTTCGCAAGCTCGGCCTAATTCTCCTGCTTGAATACAAGGATGCTTGGTTAACTTGAAATCTGTACTAGTCAAGTGAGAAAATAGCTAAAAAAGGGAAAAACGAACCTGCCACTCCTGGCAATGGGGAGCCTGAGAGATGTGGTAGAGAATGTAAGCATTGTGGGCCTGAAAGGCGTATGCTCCGAACAAAAAGACGAGTACAAACGATAGGCGACTCGACATCCACGACATATAACCGTCTGCAGTGGGATAAAACAGTCAATACGTAAAACCGTCAAAGAGGTAAATAAATAGTCCATTTTGCATAATTAAAACTTAGCAATTTGTACATAACTAAAGTAGGACTCAAACTTGTTTCAGAACAAGATAACAGTAAATGGTTGGGTGCGCACGACTTTAAAAGTGCATCAAGATAGTGGTTTCACATAAACGACCAACTACACGGATTCGATCAGCCAGGTTTATAGTCTAGTTAAAGCGCAAGAGATAATATTTTGAGAGAACGCGATCAAAACTCACCAACGGTTATATCCATGGAGGGTCTTTGGCCGAGAGCCCTTAGTTTGTAGAGACACCCCATTTGATAATAATACTGTATACACTGAACAATAACTAAAAGGGAAAGAAACGGCTTGAAGACTTATCAAAATGAATAAACAAACCTAGACAATTCATCATTAAACAAATAGTGAGGTTCAGGACACACGTCATTGCGACTTATCGCAACCGATCTGTCCTAGACGAGTGAGGGTCGATCGTGCTAATGACGGGGACATGAGAACCATAATACAGCAATTAAAACTACGTTAAAACACAATATCAGACGCTCGTGTAAATACCGACGGTTAATCAGTCCCGTAAGCGGTCCAAATTCGGATTCACCTTTCAAAAGGAGACGACTGAAAACGCACTCAAAGCCACCCACCTCGGTGAATCCACGACCACCAACACAGCAGATGTGTGGCCTGAATACGAAGTTGGGACACTTGCCACTTTATATTGAAAGTAAACCGCGATCGAATGATCAAAGAGTCTGAAACTCTCTTCTAAATAATGTTTTCATGAAAATGTTCTCTACGTTATTACTAGACTGGCCAAAATCATGACCGGACATTCTAGATTTAAGTATCGAAAGCAAGTTAAAGAATGGAATGAACTTAAATGAGTTGAAACAATTAAGGGTGTGATTCACTTGCAGCGGAATCACCTAAACTTTAAAATTGCCCTTGTCGGTGCCTGGTAAGCCGAAGCAACCAAAGGCATTAAAATAGGAGAATGAAATACATTAAATTGTGAAAATGAAACGGGAGGCCAAATTAAGATAACTTAAGATACTCAAAAGAAATAAAGCAAAGATACTGCTACTAATTGGGATTAAGATCATTTGAATATTAAAAAAAGAAATTATTATGGTTTATCAGACTCCGACAACGTGTACGAGGAACCACATCAGGTTAATTATGAATGCACCAGATTACTAACAAATAAGTCTTTTTTACAATTACTACATGCACTGGAGGTAGGGTTGGTGCGTAGTTTAAATGTACGTTGTTACACAAGTCTTAGCACACGACATACACGCGCTTTAACATTTACAGAATGCAGAATTTCCCCTTACAACACCTTAGATGAAAGACGGTTGATTAGCAGATAAGAGCGCTAAATACGATGACACAAAAACAATAAAACTCGATAATAACAGACGAGGAAGCAAAAGGAGTCCTCGATAGAAAAGTGGACTCACATATGTAGAAGGAATAGAGCATGAATTGGTCGCGGAACAGCGAATATGATTGCGACGTTGGCCTATGTAAAGAAGAGTAGAAGAATAACACGTTTTTGATTTAAATGACAGAGATTACGGAAAGACTAAGGACAGTTCCTTGGCACTTCAGAGTCCCTTTTAACATGCCTATGGCGCGAATCCGCAGAAGTTTAGTACGTTAAAAGTGCTTCATAGGAGGGCCTAACCTGTTTCTGCAGCTCCAAAGTTTCCAATGGAAGAGTAATTTAGATTGATAAGATCACCAACGACCAAAAGAGGTGCAAATGTGGCATCTCATGTCAAATTTGCCTTTAAAATATAATCAAGAGTGAAAGGAGCACTTTTGTGAACGTAAACACTGACTTGAACATCATAGGACGAATGATGCTTTAAACAAACAACAGTATTGTAAGTGAGGATGCTAGAAACTAAGGGATTTGCTCTAAGAGGCACCGCAAATATGGATCCAGAAAAATTCGCTGAAATCTGTAGGAAGCGAAGTGGTCCTACGAAATTCTGAATTATACTTCAGACTAACACTCATACCTTGTCTGTGTTGACAGGTCTGTATTAGCAAACATACAATTGTCATTCCTTAAACAGGCCATTTGAACAAACGATGAAAACTTTTCAAAGGGAAAAGTATCACCCTCTATGCAAGTATACAATTTTTCGCCACCAAGCTCTAGGAGGATCAGTGCACCGACAACGTGGTGGTTCCACGCTACTCTCTTACAAGCTGTGGAATCCAACACAGTGTCGTTCAGCGCCAGTGCGTTCGTCAACTCCAAGTGCCGGTTGGGCTCCACGCGTGGCACGATGGTGAGGCCCCACGAGAAGTAAATCCCCGCGAGACCAGCGATGCAACACAGACAAAAGAGGCCTCAAAACCTACCAGATAAGAATGACAGCTGCTTCAGCAGTGAGGATGAAGTGGTAAGTAGCCCACCAGCCCTTAATTCGAGATCCATTTTGTATTAGGATTTGCTCCCGGATTGTCAAAGTGCAGTAGTACCAAACAATTAGCAAATGAAACAGCGAATCCAGTAACCTACAAAACAAAGACAAGCTTTAGGGGAAGCGATTGACGACGAATGCTTTACTGACTAGAAATCGTGTTGGAAGGGGTACCGATTAAGCACAACGCTCTGAGCCACTAAACGGACTGTAAAATAGCTACATTAGTACTGCGAAAACGGAACTCCATTGACGTAATACCTTTTGGGGTCAGGTCGAAATAGATAGCTGTGGATCTTTAATTCAATTGGTGACATCAAACGCTCCGTGACGGAGCGCATGAGGGTGACCATCCCGTCAATGGGCAGTGCCCCACAAAGAAATATGGGTGAAATATTCTTTGAAAAAATAAAGGCCTAGAAAAAAACGAACGCAATAGCGTTAGCACATAAATTGCTGTTGAATCTCATTTCCGCTACCAACTACACGTTCAGGTGCGAAGAAGTTGAAATAAGTCGTCATCGGCGTATGAAAAGAGCCGTCAATTTTAACACTACGACGTCCTCTGCAAAATCCAATGAGTGAATGACATGACTGCATCTAATCCGCAGCGGATATGAAACTGTTGTGGCACATTTGATAAGTTGTCAAAGATATTTTAACAAAAGCAACCTACAAAATTGTTACGCACCTCAGCTCATTGCGGTAAACCAGATTGCCATTGATCAAGGAGCAAATGCATACAGTTAGGAACTGTGAAAACAAGAACTTAAGCGATTTTGTTTGTACATTATTGGGGCTAAATGATTGAAGGGCACAACCTATTTCTTTCGAATAAAAGAACTAATTAGACTTACAAAAAATTATCTTTTAACAAGTACTCACCCGTATTGATTGAAGAAATACAGAAAAAGGGCATATATACTGATTATGGCGGAAACTGTGATTTTGAAATTTTCGTAGTTGTTTTTGTAATCAAACTTGTCCTGCTTGCTTGTGAACGAAACATCCACTGGGCCGAGGATAATCCTCAGATAGAGTCTGCGAGGAATGGTAAAACACTCCCGTTCGGATTCTTACCCGTTTTGTTTAGGAAGACAGTCCTCCATGTCGCGCAAAATGTGGGCCTTGTCCTCAAAGCTGTTTTTGATTACAGATAATTCAACTTGATCGTGGATGTTAGGAGTGGATTCAAGTCTATAAAAAGGCGTCATGAGTACTCAGATGTCGACAGTGTAAAAGTGTCACGGAATGCCAACAAAAATCGTGCAATTTGAGTAGGTGCAGGAGACACTTTGCAATGTTGGTGATGGGCTATTAGCAGCATTCAACAAAGGTTTTCGATTAGGGAGCCTGTAAAATTACTGCGACAAAGCTACATTAATGGGTCCGTGCTATCCATCCAACCCTTCCTGCTGACCGTTGATAAACAGGTCTGGATTGTGCTGACTATTAATAGCCTCTTCTTCGTGATTATTCATCAAGGATACGCCTTGTTGCTGTGGAGTACTGGGAGTTGGTGCAGCCAAGTTGATTTACGTCGAACGAAAATTGCACATTTTGAACCTTATAGGTCTGCTACTTGGGTCTTAGTAGTCGATGCCTACACTCTAACGATTAGGTATATTCCTTCATGAATCCAACGAGGGGTAGTCGGAGCTGCTCTGGCTTTTGTACACTTCATTTCTTTCAGTGTGTCCATTTTGGCGTGGCAACCACTAATTAGTAGACAAGGGATGCAAAAATAGTCAAAGTTATGCTCTGGACAATTGGACAAGCTACAGTTTAAAACGTAAATGAAGCATGAAAACAGACACCTGAAAAGGTGTGCCCTGTACGTTGTATGGTAGTGATGGTTTTAGTTTCGACAGACAAAAGTGAAAAAAAATACGTTAACCAAAAACTTACCTAGCCACCTTAGACTTTAACATTTTCATATACATTCTATAGTGCTTGATATCGCGTTTGCAAGCATTTTGATCGGCCTTAATCTTTTCAGAGAGCTCGATGTATTGGTCGTAGCGTTTTTCAAAGGCATCGAATTCACCTTCGAATTTTTCCACCATTTGCTTCAATTCCTCCATGACTGAGAAGATAAAAAACGGACGCCACTCGTGAAACACTAAAACCGATCACGTCGCACATATAAAGTAAACCGATTACACTTTATGGGCAAATTCAAATGAAAGTCGAATTCACCACTATCCGCACCTTTAACGACGCAAATTCCCTCAAATATAGAACGTAAAATGCCTTTACTACAAGCCCTGTAATGACACGCAATGGTGGCTAAATTTTCTCAAAACATGAAAGGGAATTGATTGAGACTGTCAACTTTTGACTCGTCGGTGATCCCGGATTACCAAACATGCCGGTGAGAGGCACCCTAAGTTATATACTGTTGGTTAGCAGAATTTTCAGAAGCTTCGACACTTGATATATGCACCTATGCGTATTGTTATGAAAAGGATCCAAGTTCAACCTGTTTTTGCATTTCACACAATCACAAATTAAAATAGCTAATTAAACGATAACTCAGAATAAGAAAGTTGCTGCACTTCTGAACCTAACTAGATCCAAGCGAAAACCTTTTTGCCATGCAAAAAACGTCATTTAGTGCTGTACTGCTTCTGACGAAGTTGTAAAAAAGGTAAATGCATTGATTACAGCTAGCGCTGTGAAAGAAATATATCGCAGCATAGTCTGATTAGAGTCCACCTCGCAGGTATACATAAAAATCAGCTTCCAAATATAACCTAAAGTTTTGCTATTTACGTCCATTTGCGAATCGCACTTTGATTCCGGACAGACGCCAACAAAAAAATCACCAGGCATTTATCCAGGGTCTGGTTATGAAGTTTATGCTTATATCTCAGAATATTAAATCGATGAAAACGCAAGATTAAAGAACTACATCAGACTGCATTAGGCCGTTGAGTTCTTGGCTCTTTTGAGAAAAAGCTGTTATAAACTAATACACGGTAATTTCTCAGGCTGTAGTAAATTAGATAAACAATTTCGGGCCTACTGAAAACAAAAAAAAAGAACATAACAATAAACCCGCATCAAAAAAGCTTGTCTGACACAACAAATACGACAAATATCTCAAATGGAACTGCAAGTCTTAAAATTCCTCCTGTTCAACAAAAAACTCCAAGTACTTACTTTACGTTATTCGCAATAAAAAACGAATATTATGCGAATAAAACACTGAAGAGTTAAGTTCAAATGCGGTTCAAGGTTAAAATTCAGTGGCAAATTAATTTGAACCTTACTACTATAGCACTTTTAAATCCATATTCAAAGCTCCAACCGCTAATTGATAATGCAAGCAAAACTAACACTGAATGCAATCATGGGTAAATTCATTTACTTGAATTGCTAACTATGAACGTATTTACAGTCTAAACCCAAACACCATAATTATGTTATTAAAACGAAACCACAAGGAAGGTCAGCCATGTCAGTTTTAGTAATCTATTGCGCAATCTGTAGAGTTTCTCGCATTAAGCTAACATACTTAGGACGTCGTTTCAGTTAAAAGAATAACGCGTCAGGTATTTTCCCTGTCAGATCTATGAGAAAGGTTTGAGAAAAATACTATAACAAGGGCATATATAGAGGTGTCATGTCAAACCAACTCCATGCAGAACACTGTTGCTTGGTACGAGGTAAGCTACAAGGAAGGGATTCGCAATATATCCGTTATCCATTCACATGAAATGCACAAAAATTATTCTTGAGAAAAAAATTAGAACCTATGCGATAAAATAGACTCAATACGTGTAACACATATAAAACGCTCTGTAATGGGAGTAGTTGATGCAACCGTTGAAACAATAACCCTGGATGCGGCAAAGCCCTAGTGTTTATATTCCATCACTGTTTAGATGCACCTTTTAGAGCGTCAATAACACCACGTTCCAATATATACTGTAAATAATGACGCAGATTAGCCTTAAGAACAACCCAAAGGCAGAAGACCCATTAAAAATACGACATGTCGATTCACAATGAAAATGATCTCAGTTCGGTGATTCACTAGGATGTACGATTACTTTGACTTTGGAATGTACGTTGGGAAATCGTGTACAGTATAAGGAAACACTCATTACTTTTACTTTACGCGGTATTTATGAACACAGTCTGCCTGTATGATGTGCAAAATCGGTCTACAAATAAAAACAACAGGTGTGTTTACTTCCCTGACAAGCAAAGTGACGGTGCCTGGATAATTTGTTTATCTGACTAGGGCCAACATATGGGCATAAAATCACAAAAAGCTCCCTATTGTAACAATTTAAACGACTGTATAAAATGGAAACAAGTGCTTTCCAAATGCATTATTATAACTGCCGTAACACATTAAACTGAAAATTGTTGCGGAGCGTAATTGATAGCTGAATATTCTCAAATACGACAACTTTTCCGGCCAAAAAACAAAGAAAACCTTCACAAACAGGAGCTTAAGCGTCATCAGGGCATAATGAACAAATATTTTAGTCTTGTACTGATTAGATATGACAATCAACCTAATAGGCGAGCGGGTTTTAACGGATAGAAGAATAATTCAGCTGACAGCTCTGGCGAGTATGCAGCAAAAAACAAATTGAGTGACCAATTGATTGGGATATTAAGCAAAATGAAGATACAACGTAAATCGAGCTCGTCGGAGTAACGCACTAACCTTAAATGGTCAGTGTAGATGCATTCAAAAAAGCCGCGATGTTCTACACCCGCCAAGTTAACGGTGGTAAACAAGGGTTTTGCAACATCATCATTATTTAATTTCAAAATTCAGAAATTCACAAATCCATAAATTTATCAATGCCATATTTTTAGTAGCATAACTATATAGCTGTCCACCGACTTCAGTGTACCAGGTTTTACCTAATTAAACTGTTAGAAGACCGACCATATTAGCTAAAGGAGAAATACTATTGTTTACCAATTATGATTATTCCATTGAAATAGATTCAAGTAAAAATACAGTGTGGTCTTTGTAGTGGAGGAGAACACAATAAAAACATACCAATGACAATGGTCCAATTGATTTTGCATGCGGTTAGTACCAGGATTAATTCTAAGTCCTAAATTCTTAGGCACGAAAGAGTGAATAGCTCAGTTTTCTGATACGAGAATATCTCCTGATGCCGCTATTGCAAAAGTGTTGCTAAGTTAAATATATCACTTTAATCTTGCCGAGGTGAAAATAAAGCTCTTTCGATTTATTTGTTTACAATCCTGTTTTGTTGCTATAAGTCTATAAATGTTAGACTTTACGCACGTGTAGGACAATCTCGTTACCCGATCCTCTGTTCAGTCTTATTAGCTTTGAAGCAGGACCTTCATAGCTAGCAGAAGTGCCAGAAGGCTGATATAAATATGAGAGTTTGAAATATGAAGATTATCTACCAAAATATCTATTTAACAGATGTGGAATAGCACTAGTTCACTTTACAAAAAATACCTAAGTTGGCGTTCTTCAGCTTGCATATTTTGAAAAATTTGCCTGCAATGCTAAAAGTGGTTTATTATGGTTTATATTATTATAAATTGAAGATACCTAATAGTCCGGCGTATTAATGACTTGCTCACTGGTGAAGCGACTTCAAATTAGTACCTTTAAGCCTGTCCTAACAGCACTTCTCTTAGATCCCAAATAATTCGTGGTTATTAAGCTTTACTGAAAGTAAAACCGGGAGCACCTTTGCTTTGGTACGTATATTTAAACCTAGTTATTTTTCTTTAAGAAATTTTTCCAGGGTTGAATGAGACTTGATGACATCCAACTTACCTTAAGTTTTTCGATTCGTTCGATAATTGTCATAATGTAATTACACTTAATTTACCCCAAGGTTGATCATTTATGGGGTCTTCCGAACCATCGTTAAAAATTCCTCATAAAAATCAATGTCCTTTGTTAACCGCATTTACTAGCCGTTCAAGACAACATTTTAACTTAAACTATAGTAAATCGTCATGATTGTCCGTCAAATTATCCATTATCTTATTATTTTGGCTTTGTTGAATTTCATCCTTAGTCATACAATGACCTTAACCGAAGCGACCCCTGAGCAATCCCTTTGATATCTGAAATGGCTACCTTTTGACAGCCTTTTTCATGGAGATGATTTTGAGTAAAGTACCATGCTCAAGTTACTCTTATCGTATTAAAAGTATAAGGTCGTCAGTGTAGTTTGATAATTGACCTTGAACTTTGCAATATGACAATAATTATCACCTATTGGGAAAAAGAAAAACTCTTTTGGTGGTTCAGTGGCCTCGTGAATCATCTTGAAGGCATACGACTTGCAAAAGTGAAACCTTTTCGCGTCTGCTGTGATCAAACACGTTGAAAAGGTTTGCAATGCCATTTCAATAGATATTAATAAGTTCTCAAGTGTATCTTGTTTGATTGATTTAAATCCTCATCAACACACGTGGATCTCCCATAAGTGTATCCTGCGTGCTAAACAAATGATCCTCACACTTAGATCAACATTGAAAATTGAAAAGGCTTATCTACAAGCACTCAAACTTTTCTATTTAATAGGGGAAATTATTGTACCACGACCTCTACAACAAAGGACAACGTTTGACTGCCTTCAGGTGTGGTGACCGTAAACTTGGAGTCACGCAGTGGCGTGTAAGGGGATGCAAATGCTGACATAACACAGCTGTTTACATGAGTTTATTTATTTTAATGGGTCAATGTAGCAATTCTAATAAACGAATAAGTATGAAGATGACGAAATTCTGATTAAAAGTCACGGACTCCACAAATTTCGCAAAAAAACGATTTTAACAGCATTATAACTCAAAAACGGAGCCTGCGAATAACACCAGCATGAGAAGTTGCGGATATATGCGCTGGAATTGAAGAATAACAATAACAATCCGGTAAAGGGAATTCATGTTAAGGTTATTTTAAGCAATATATATTACGACAGTATATGTCATATACAGTAAAATTTAAAGGGTAAATGTATTCAAGACATGCTGTCGCACACCGATATTCCAACAAAACCAATATAGTAAAATAAAGGGTTATACAGAAATAACATGACAAATGCTATGTGAC